GTCTAAAAACATATGCTGAAGGAAAGATAACCTCTATAACAAATTGTGGTGGGAAAACTAGCTATCGACCTACAGAAGATTGAGTCTAAACTCATATTTCTCACCATGTATTGAAAATCAAAATGGATCAAAGACATAAATATTTAAAAAGAAATACATAATATATTGGAAGAGAAAACTGGTAAAACTCTTGAAGACTTAAGCCCAGTAAAGACTCACTGAACAGAACTCCAATTGCCAAAGAAATAACATCAAGAATCAACAAATGGGGTTACATCAAATTAAAAGGCTATTCACAGCAACGAAAATATCCCATAGAGTGAAGAGACAACCTAGAGAATTGGAAATAAAATTTGCCGGTTATTCCACATATAGAAGGCTAATATCTAGAATATATAGAGAACTGAAATAATTAGGCTCCCCAAAGTAAAAGACCCAATAAAAAAAAATGCCCAAATGAAATGAATAAACATTTCTTAGAAGAAGTACAAATAGCCAATAAATATGTGAAGAAAAGTTCCACATCTTTGGCCATTAGAGAAATGCAAATTAAAGCAACCCTGAGATTCCATCTTACTCCAGAAAGAATCAAGAAATCAAATAATTGGGCTGAGAATTTAGCTCAGTGGTTCTGCCACCTTCCTTGTGCAAGGACCTGAGTTCGATTGCTGGTACTAAAAAAGAAAAAAGAAAAAAGAAAGAAATCAAATAATAACAAATGCTGCACAGGGAAAAAAGAAACATTATTTTTTTTCTTTCTTTCTTTCTTATTATTGGTGGGAATATAAACTAGTATAATCACTATGGAAGTTAGTATAATATTCCTAAAAGAAACTAAAAATAGAAATTCCATTTGATTCAGCTATTCTTCTAGATATCTTCCCCAAAGACTTAAGGACATCATAGTACAGTGATGCAAACATACTCATGTTTACAGCAGCACAACTCATAATAGCTAAATCTTGTAAGTGTCCTATAGGTCGATTAACAGATTAATAAATAAAGAAAATTTGATATTTATATACAATGGAGTACTACTCTGCCATAAAAAAGATTTGAGTCATTTGTAGGAAAATGAATATACCTTGAAACCATAATGATAGGTAAAATAAATCAGACATACAAGATTAAATATCTTGTAGTTTATCCTATGTGAAAAACCCAATGTATAAATAATTTAAAGAGCAAAATAAAAGACAGATAATAGGTCACAGGGAGATAATTGTTTTGCAAATGGGAAGGGGACCAAGTGATGGAGTTAGAGGAGGGGAAGGGGAAGTAAAAAGAATTAAATGTGTTACGTACATGCACCAACTCCCCACAGTGGATATAGTAATTATGTACTGCAAACATGCACTAATAAAGTTTTTAAAATTCAATTTTTTAAAAAAGAGGAAAAGTGGCATGATTGTACAACTTTAACAGAGAAAGATAAAACGCGGCTACAATTTCTTTGACATGTCTTTCATCAAGAGGTGGAGTCCATACTCAATGTCTTTGAATCTTGGAGGACTTATAGTTGTTCTGAATAGAATGTGGTATTGGTGACATATGAGGCCTTTAAAAGATGGTCATAAAAAGCCTTACAGCTTTTATGTTTCTTCCCAGAATGCTTCCTTTTAGATCATGTAGAAATCTGACTATATGGCTTAGCAAGGAAAGCCTAAGCCACATGAACAGGCCGTGGTCGGGTATCCTGGAAAATCATTCAAAGGGAAGCCCAGTCTTTGAGTTATCCTAGCCCAGACATAAGATTTGGGAAAAAGAAGTCTCCGTATCATTTCCTAACTAATTCAAATCACCTCAGCCATCTGAGTTTTCCCACCTGAGCCCTCAAGCAAGTTGAAGCAGAAACAAACCATACCTTCTATGACCTTTCAATTTCTTCACCCACAAAATCCGTGAGTATTGTAAAATGAATGTTTCTTATGCCACTAAGTTTGGGGGTACATTGCTGTGAGGAACCACTGAGCTAAATCCCTGGCTGGGCAGCTCTAAAGAGTACACCTTCCAGTGCCCACTGTGGGCTGTGGGGGATAAGGATCAGGGAGTAACCCCAGAAAAGGCAGAACCTTGACCACAAAGGACAAAACACCAAGATATTCCGAAATGAGATCTCTTGGGGCTACCAGATGGGCTGACCAGCAGCTTACCCTACAATCAGAGCCGAAAGTGACCACCAGTCCAACCCAACTGGACTTGGTGACTGCTATGGAGCAGGGAGCGCTGCATGCTTCCTTCTCACCCTTTGCTGAGTGAAAGCTGCAATCGTATTAACCTAATTCTCTCAACCTCTGTGTACTGGATGGATTATCTATTCATTTATAGGTCACCAGAACACAAGGAACCACATCTGAACCCGCAGAGAAGAACCTCATGTCACCCAAAGATATTGAACTTTGACTAAGATGTAGCTACTGGATGGGAATTTTGATGTAGTCTTCTCTTTTGGAGATTGAATGTGTTCCATATGTGGGAAGGGAGTATAAAATGGATGTTTAATAGTCAAAAGGAAGACTGTAGTCATTGCTATCTGCCTCCTTCCAAAAGCCCTTGTTCTCCTCTGCTTATGTCTGAACTACAAATTTGGAGGGAATGGCAATACAGCCTATCAAAGTTCTACAATTTCCAACTTTGTTGATAGCTGGTTGTGGATGTGTGACTAAGTTCTGGGCACTGAAGTATAAGGAGAATACGTAAGACTTCTGTGAAGTCTTGGAGAAAAGGGACAAGCACTCTTTTCCTTGCACCATTTTAAGGACTGGGATGCAGATGTGAGGGCTGGAGCTCAGTAAGTCAACTGAACTAGAGGACAATGAGGCAGTGTTGGAAGACCCATCAGAGTGCAGGATTGCTTGACATCTGACTACTTGTGTGTGTGAGAGAAACAATCATTTGTCTTTTATAGACCATTCGTATTTTGAGTTTCCTAGCACATGTGCTCACCTGAATATACATTGTCAGGTTCAGAAAGCCCAACAAGTCCATATAAGAAGAAATTTTATTTCTAGACCCTTCATGATAAAATTGCAAAACACCAGAGGCAAAGGCATATTAAGGACTGACAGAAAAAAACAAATTACCAACGAATGACAAACTGACAGCTGACTTCTCAACAAAAAATCAATATGACTGTCGATGATTTGAGCAGTATAAATAATTCTTGACTTACATAGAATTCTGCATCAATCAATTCAGGAAAATATTCTTTTCAAGGACCCAAGATACGTGTCACAACAATTGGTCAAGGACTGATACATAAGGCAAGTCTGAATAAAAGTGAAAGAATTCGCGTTTATTTAGATCATATTCTCCAACAAAAACAATGACGATCCTCGGTAACAACAAAAAACCTCTAGGCTCGGCTGGGCACGCTGGTACACCTATAATTCCAGCCCTCAGGAGACTGAGGCAAGAGGATCACGTGTCTGAGGCCAACCTAGTAATATAGACACTGCCTCAAGAGAAACAAACCAAACAATCAAAACTATAGGCTTGAACGCTAAACTACTGTCCAAATAACTCATCTGATGGATCAAAAGGAAACTGATGGTCCAACTTCCCTGAGCTGATACAGCTGGAGGAAAACTCTGTGCTGTGATGACCAAAAAGGCTTTGAGAAAAGGTTAATGCCACCATCAAGCTGTTTTTATATCTTTGTCATTCTGTGGATAAAGACTTCTCTGTGTTCACATGTCAATCCTGTTGGGCCTTGCATAGGTCCCGTGGCCATCGCTGAATTTAGAGAGAAGTGGGGGATCCTCTCATGCTAGTTGGGGTTAGGTCTTCTGGATGTGAAGATGAAAATTTGTGGGGTAACTTGACCTCTAGAACTTCCAAACGCACATGAGGTCAGAGAAGAAGACGCTGTGAGAAGGAAGCTAGACAGAAAAAAATCACACTTCTTCCAGAGAGGCAATTCTATAAATGCCCCTGACTAGCACAATAAAGTGACTAAATAAACAAAAACTTAACAAAACCAAGATGATATGTAATTGCCGGATCCAGTTCCAAACCATGAGTCAGTCTTGTTTTCCTCCTCCATCAGATTCCAAAACAGTCTTTCATGGATTTGGCAACCTATAGCTAAAAGATAAATTAAACCATCCCTCCCACCCGACTTATCCAGGGCCTGTGACAAAGGGAAAACAGAAAGACTGCAATAAAATCTTCCACTGGCAACAAGGAGAGGGGAAACAATGAATAGCAAGCATGGGGTACTTTAAGGTTCAAGGACAGGAGCTGGGACAGTCCTGGGCAGTTCCCTTCATGCCTTGGTTAGCCCACCCGGATGCCCCTTGCCCCTTCCTGCTAACTGCAAAGACACTCTCATGAGAAGGCTACTTTAAGGGCTACTTCCCCTGTAATTGCTAGGCCGGAGTCCAGCCCTAGATTTTGATCAATCACAGATCACTGTTCGCCGAGCATGCAGTTCTTTGGGAATATGGTTTCCCCACTTCCTCACAAACTGCTGTTCCATTTGGTTTTTAACAACAGTAACTATTCCTTGTCAAGTCTGATCTTTCCCTTGTGGCATCTGGCTCTTAATAATAAACACTGCCCCTGTGGCCTTGTGCTCAGTTGGAGGGCATCCTCTGAACTGGATGTGGGGGGCAGAGCTAACTGGACCTATGCTGGCACCCTGCACCCAGTGTATGGTCCAAGGTTCAGGGATCCCAGTGCAGGTGGTGAGGGCTGTCATGTGGGCTAGAGGGCAAAAGCTCACTGCCTGGGGGAGCCAAAGTATGCAGGGCAGTGGCTTCTACTCCAGATAAGGAGAATGAATAACGATTTCCAGGGGAGGGATAGCAATGGCAAACACAGGGTTCTTGAGAATGGGCCATGGGGTGTGGTATGTGACAGGCAGGGATGGGGAGTGGAGTCACTCTGAGGTTTATTGGAGCAGGAAAATGGGTGCCAAAGGTTAGGTAGTTAATGATAACTTTGGGTTGATGTTTTAAACAGTTCTGGCTAGGACGGTAGGGAGGTTTGAGATGGTAGGGAGACTGGTTAGGTGCCCGCTGTCCAGAAAGACTCCATTCAGATCTCATTGTGCCTGGGCACCAGAATCCCAGGAGCCTTCCGATGGGGTGAGAAGTGAGAAGCTACCCGCCCAGGCAGCTAGGAACAAGCTCCTAGGCAATTTGTATTCACCAGGTCTGTCTGCCTCAGTTTACCCTGAGGAGGTAATGCCTCTACAGACACCCTTTGGGCTAAGTGAGGTCTGTGGCCTGCACATAAGGGAAAGATAAAATCAAGCAGCCCAGATTTGGGCTGGATGAACTGCCTGCCTCTTCTGGGGAGATGGTCTCCCCGGAAGAGGGCCACTGCACTGCTGCTAAGCAAATTTCCCATTGCAGCAAGGAGCTGTGCACCCCAGTCCTACAATACTGGAGTAGATGCTAACTGGACAGGCCTCCTACTGGAATGCACAGCTGCTACTGTCCTTCAGGCAGAAATATTTTTGTGACAACCAAGTAGTACCGAAAGACAATACCAGTCGAGTGCACATTGGAATAGTGAAGGTCGCTGGAAATCCCACTGTTTGGGAAGAGTCCAGTAAATAGCTTCGAAGTCAGTGGAAGGAAGGAAGGAGAAAGGAGGGAGAAAGGAAAAAGAGAAGAAAAAGAGGAAGCTTCATCCCCAGGAGCCTTAAGCGAGCAGCTGGCCCCTTTTATTATTGTCCACACCCTCTGCCTGACCCTGGCCTTGGAGCCTCTGGCCTCACTTGGCCTAGCCTCGCAAGCTCCCAGGGCAGCCTTCCTCTCGCAAGGTCCCGTCCTGATCTGATGTTTTCTGTCTGGCTCAGCAACCTCGCCTGACCTTCGCAGGGCTGGGGTCCATCCAACAGGCCCGTAACCCAAAATTCTTATCACTCAGGTCATCCCTCTGGACATTGGGCATCCGTGAGCAGGGGTGAGCCGAAGCTGAGCCATAGTAGCACCTGTGGTAAGTGGGAGCTAAATTCTTATCACTCAGGTCATCCCTCTGGACATTGGGCATCCGTGAGCAGGGGTGAGCCGAAGTTGAGCCATAGTAGCACCTGTGGTAAGTGGGAGCATTCCTCCAGAGGGTAGGCTGTGCAAGTAGAGCTATTTATTCTGAGCAGCTGGTGTGAGTTGTTCCTTTCTTTTGTGTGTTTGGGTTACTTTCTCCCAAAGCACCCATCACAAAGTCAGGCAGGTAGGATTTGTCTCACGAATGCCATTTGGAACGGCTGTGCTTGCCACGGAACAGTAAAAGTTGAACATCTATAACCCCAAAATCTAAAATGTTCCAAATACTGCCGTTTTTTGGAGTGCTGACATGATGCCATAAGTAGAAAATTCCACACCTGACCTTGAGTGACAAGAGGTCACAAAAAAAGCATAGGCATATTCAAAATATTGTACAAAATTACCTTCAATTTATGGTGCAGAAGATGTATATGAAACATAATCAAGCCAGGCTTGGTGGTACCAGCCTGTTATCCCAGCACTCTGAGAGGCTGAGGTAGGAAGAATACAAGTTCAAGCCCACCCTGGATAACTTAGCAAGACCCTGTCCCCCACCCACTCCAAAAAAGGGGAGGCTAGGGATAGGGTATGTGAAGGCCCTGTGTTGGATCACCAGTACTGAAAAGAAAAGAGAAGGGAAGGGAAGGGCAGGGAAGGGGAGGGGAGGGAGAGAGGGAGAGAAGGAAGAATGGAAAGAAGGAAGAAGGGAGGGAGAGAGGAAGAAAAAAGAAGCATAAGGAGTTTCATGTTTAGACTTGGGTCCCAGCCCCAAGATATCTGACTATATGTATACAGATATTCAAAAATCCAAAGAAATCCAAAATCCAAAACACTTTAAATTTCAAGCATTTTGGATAAGGGATCCTCAACTAGTACTATCTTTTTGGTAGAGCCCCTATCTTTCCTCTAAGAGGACCCTGTATGCCAGGACCACTCCAGTGGAATCTGCGTGACAATGCCGACCACCTGGCAGAAACCGGATCTGAGGTATCGTCCCCTCGGGGTCAAGCCTCCTGGAGGTCCTTGGCATGCACCGCATTAAAAGTCAGCCAAAGAAGGAATCGTTGGTTTCTTCGCCTGCAGCTTGGGGACAATGGGTTCTGTTACAATTTTGATTTATTTTCTATTGATCTCTGTGTGTTTGTTTTTTGAAAATGCCTAGTGGTTTTCAAGAAGGAGAAGGATTAGATGTACCCAAAGATATGGAGGATAAGAATGTCACTGTTTGGACACAGCCTTCTCAGTCAAATAATAACTGAACAGAAAGTGCATTTGAGGGGAATATTTCTTTTAAGGAAATAGTTCTCAGGAAAATAGCATGTAATGTTACAGACGTTACTGATACTTCATCAGAATTACCATATATTGTCAAACATCTGAGAAACAATGATTCATTGGGGAAAAAATGGCCACTGGCATATTATCAGCTAAGATGGAAAGCAAGCTTAAACTCCTGCTAACTTTTTACAATGTATTCTATAATGATGTATTTGGCAGGCGCCAACTCAGCAAGCGGAAATAGATGCCTAGAGAGATCAGCTCATTGCCCCTGACTTGCTATAAGGAAATAGAAATCTGTATAAAGGAAGCTCTTTGAAAAATAAATTTTGCAGCAGCATTTACAAACTTCACCTCGGTGTTGAGTGCTTTTGTCTGACTGTCATCGCCGAACCTGCTCCCACCTTTCAGAGAACCTGTATCTCCTCGTGAAATCCCGTGTTTGCTGCCCTACAGTCGGTAGCACCTGTAGGGATGGGGCTGAGGGAATGGACCTTTGGTGGGGACCAGGCTCTGATACGAGGGTAGGTTGAGCCCCTGGACACATGATGAGGAACCAACAGAGGGAAAGGAAGTCCCTGTTTTGCTTGCTTCCTGTTCCCTTTCTCTCTATTTCCTTCCACAACCCTCAGACCCCTGCTCCTGAGCCACTTCCTTCCCGTTCCACATGAATCTCTGGGATTTCTGTCAGGTATCCCCCAGCTTCAGACAGGGACCTCCAAATGTCTGTAGCAGCCACACTGTCACTTTGGGCCAGTGATAGCAAAACTTCAGATGAAGCTCTGTGAAATGCCTGTTGATTTTTGGCCTCCATGCTGTGCCGGGTAACTTAACCAGGCGAACCATCCACTTCCTCCCCTGGGACACAGACCAAGGCTGAGTCATCCTGTCAACTCTGTTAGAGACAAAAAGGTAATAAGGACAGACATCTGTTGGGGGCATGGCTACTTCGGAGGCTCTGTCACCATTGCTCTCTCCCCTCTCTCCTCCCTGACTGGACCAAGTGAAGGTCAGGAGGCAGGTAGACCAGCTTCTTCTCTCTTGGTATCAAGAGTTCTTCACTCCCCACTTCCTGAAAGTCTCAACATTTGCCTGTCACCATGTTGATGCAAATCTCTCTAGGTTTGATTTTTGAAGTGAGGACATTCAAGACCACAACTGTTCGTGTCCACCATCAGCCTAAGGAAGGGCACTTGAAGCAGGCACAAGGCCTGTGGTGTTCTTGGCATAGGGCAAAGTCGAGTAACAGGATGGTGGTGGTAGCACGCTCTAGTCTTTCCTTGAAGAGTTTAAGAGCTCCTGTTTTGAAATATTTCATAGACCTTTGGAACTGTCATAACGAATAAAAACATAAACCATAAACAGTTGCTCCTTTCAAGTGCAATTAAGAATTTGGGTGGGGTGGCAAGTTCTGGTTTTGAAACTAGGCTTCAAATCAACTGTAACCCTCATTAGCAGCCCCACCTTGAATTCCAGGGTCTGGAGGGGGCCTCAGAACAGAGCTCCAGCTTCCCGACTTCCTGGCCACATAATTAATCTCTGCTATTTCAACCTTTTTTTCCTTCTGTGTAAACTGTGAAGGCGATCCTGGCCTGACCTTCACCTTGCTGAGTTTCAGTTCATCTGTATAGCCTTATGTCATCCTTAAACCCAGTCCAGATGATTGATTTCTCATCTCAGTTTTAAAGGTAAAGAAACTGAGGTCTTGAGGGGTTAGGTCATTTGTCCAAGGTCACCAGGCAGCAAGCAGGTCCTTCAGGGCTAGCCAGTGTCGCACGTGTGGACTTCAGAAGGACCCATCTAGGTTTAGTCAGCTTTCCTGGACCCACCCAGAGCATTCTCAGTTGTTTATATTTTTGTTATAACTCCTTCATAGCCTCAACCATGGCTTTCAAACTGTTTGATCACTCATATAGCTAGATTTTAAAAAGCGAGTGTCCTTCAAGGGTGACCTCATCCTCTCAGGACATGGCGTTTTGGCACAGGCTGTCAGTCCTCTCTGCAGCTCTGCAAGGGGTAGTTTATTCCTTCTGCCTGAAACACTCCTTCTGATGGATTAGCTACTCTTGCTATCCTGCACAGGGCTAGCCACAGATTTTGCTCACCTGACAAGTTCTCCCATCCTCATTCTTCTGGTATCAATGTTCTGCCTTGTTTTATTTCTTGAGAGAATTGTCCCTTCTCTAATCCTAATCCATATGGCTCAACTCTCTGTCAATCAAGGTCCTTTCATCACCTGGTAACAAAGGAGAGATGTATGACCAAGGCCCTGCCAATCAAAGGGCCCGATCCCTCTGGCCATTGTAGTGATTGGTTCAGGGATGATCACGTGATACAATGTTTATAATCTTCCTCTCCAAGCAATGATAAATGAATATGATATGCTAGAATATCATTTTCTTCATAGAATATCTTTTCTTCATTTGTCTAATTATTCCCACACAAGAAATGCCTGGTTTGCAATTGCTGCATCTTATGAAGGTACATTTTAAATAGTGGCTCATTTTGTGAGATTGTCCTATGGAAAAGTTGACACAAATGTACGTCATCACAGTTCTATGTGAAAATCTGCTTTGCCCAGACTTGCAACATCTGCTCTTGTCAATCTTTAAATATCTGCCAGCTTGATAAGTGAAGACAAGTGTTGAAATCTGCTCCCAACTCTGGGTCTCCTTTTGGGTCACATTCCTGCAAGCCTGTCCTTAGAGTTACCTGCCTTTGGCCTTAATTCTAAATCTTTTGACTGATTCTTCATCCAGCTTTGTCATTCTGCCTGTAATCTGATCTCATTATTCGAGACTGCAAGAAATCTTTCTTAGGCAGGTAGTTAGGCATTAGCAGGACAGGAGGACAAAGGGGTTTGTTGCAAATAGCATGCACTGACAGTTAAAAAACCAAGACTGTAATGTATAATACATTTATAATAATTTGTTAGATCTCAGGTCTAAAGAGATCCCACAGAGCACAGTAATATTTTAAGGTTACACATTGTGCATTCTTTTTGATACTAAGCCCCCTGGCCATCTAGTTCCAGAACAAGGTATGTAACATTCCTGGCGACCATAGCCTAGAGCCCAGTGATGTCAGCCCAGTGAAATGTTTCTCCCTTGTGTTGGGACCTGGTTTAAATTAGAATTTATCTTTCATAAATGTATTTCTTGTTTCTTATATTATTAAAGCCCCTGAGGAAACACTGATCATCTATAAAGAATAGGGAGATATTTTGCAATTTTAAAGTAATTTCTAAGTAAAATTTCAATATGCATCATAATCACCATAATTCCCTGGACCCCAGGAGTAACTTTTGTGTGCATAAGAAGGTACCCAAACTCACATTTGGTGCAGACACCTGCATGGCACCACCTCACTTCTCACTTGAAGGTCTAACTCGCTTTGTATCTCTGTTACAATAATTATACCTATGCTTCTGCATGGCTGTCTTTTTTAAAACCTGTGCCTTGACTGAATTCTCTCATCAACAGCATAAAGAACTGAGGACTGGTTTCTTGTTGCATCAGGACTCAGCTACTCAGTGAAAATCTTTATCTTGTTTATCCACTTTCTTTTTAAATTCCTTGCCACTGCTGAGAACAGTTTCAGAACCCCGTTATTATGTGTTGAATGAATGAATGAACTAATGGAAACTCTTCTGTGATCCACTTGCTTTCTGTTTAGTGCTGAGTGGTGCGTGTAGTTGTCACTGCTAAGTCTACCCAAGTGAATGCTCAAAGGCATTAGGCTTCAAGGACCTGAATATTCTAATAATTGTGTTGGATGCTTAAGACTGGGGACATGACTGTCCTATTTCAAGAAATGACACTCTGTCCTCCACGAATCAAATTTTACTGATAATCTGCCATATCTCTAGAATGGAATCAAAGGACTAATTTCATGTCACTTATCATCTATGCGAGAGGAAAAGCTAACAAAAGAAGGATTTGGGATTTAAGCAACAGCTATATGAAGTGGAATTTATGAAATGCAATTCTTTGGGGAAAATTGAGCATGATGTAGGATGAAAAACTAAAAATGCTGTATGAAAGAAATAATTCTCAAGGGGAATTTAGCAGGGCTGGATGTGAAGCACAGTGGTAAAGTGCTTGCCTAGACTAGGATGGACCTCAGCAAAAAAAGGGAGGGAGATTCTTCATGAAGAACAATGAGGTGCTATGGTCTCCCCGGTTACATTTTGGAGGATATGAAAGCCACCGCTTCTTAGTATGAAGCAAGGTCTCTAGTGCTTTCCATGTCTTTTGAAGCTGGTTTTCGCCTTTTTGGTTGTTGAGTTTGGATACTCATTGGCCAAGAGGAAGGTTCTGAATCCTCAGCAATTTTGGAAGCAGTGGCACAAAAAGTTCAAAAAAATTGCCAAAAGTTCACCAGGAGAGGAAAATAAGTATTTCGGCATTAGGATGAAGGATTGGAATAGCTGGAATTGCTCATTTGTTCCACTGGGGTAATAAAAATCCCCAAGCTCATTCAAAGCAATTTGGTTTTTGTATTCTTTTCAGTATGTCAGGACCCCAAGAGGCCTCACTTGCTAGAGTAGGACACGCTCACTCTTAACAGTGGATTAGATCCAGGATTTGAAAACTGGGTAGAAATTGGGTAAAGGGAAGGGGAAAGGAAGTTCACTCCATTCATTCCATGTAGGGTGCATGAAGATGGACTTCACAGTTTAGAAGATCTCTTTATAAACATAATCTTTTGTATAATTCCATATTATCCTGAAGGTATTATTTATTATGATTTTCATCCCTCTTTTTAGTTGGAAAAATGGAAGTTCAAAGAGATTAAAAATCTTGTTCAAATTCTCTCAACTCTTTTTTTTTTTTTTTTTTTTTTTTTGGTACTGGGGATCAAACTCAGGACCTTGCACTTGCCAGGCAGGTGCAATGCCGCTGAGCTAAATCCCTGGCCCCCTCTCAACTCTTAAGAAGCAGAGTCAAACCTCAAGTCCATGTCCTCTGATCAGGGATGG